AAGGATTTAACTTTCGTCCGCAGTGATAAGACGTGATTTGGGGATTTTGAAAAAAAATCGTATATGGGGAATGCGTCCAAAATTAACCGTCTGAGTTTCAGTAAAATAATGTCATTCTTGGAACGAATTACAGCCATTTTACAGTAGATGTATGTCACGTTCCATTTCTGTAACAATACATTAAGAGAGTATGAATAGCGATGACGGATTTGTAGATAAATATCCAGTATTTATTGTCTGTAAAATATTAAATTTTTCCCCATTTTCCTGAAAGTAGGGGGTGATGAAAGCCAACCCACCTCAATAAGTTTGGGGGGGATATACCCCCATCTCCCTGCTATCGACGCCCCTGTCAGATGAACTTAAATTTGACTTTTGATATGCATACAAATATTCATAATCATAATCTTTGTTAGCAGTACTCTACAGGCGCCGCGGAACGATTTTTGAAGTGGGGGTGCTAAATTTGTTACGCTCCACAGTGGCCAATGCAGGATTTTGAGGAGGGTGGTAAGAAACATGCGGGGGGATGCGGGTCCTCCCCCAGAAAATTTTGAATCCCCCAATTTCCTCCTGAAAGTAGGGGGGGATGATTGTACACGCCATCCCCCCCACGTCAATAAGTGGGGGGGATGCATCCCCCCCATCCCCCCGCTATCTACGCCCCTGTCTGATAGTGATATCAGTGAGAATTTTATAACTATGAAAGTTCTATTGACAACGATCTTTAGAAAAACTTAACAAAACTATATCTTAGGATTATATTTAATATAATGAAAAAGGAAAAAGCTAGGTTTTTATGAGTTTATTCATTTATATTCAATCATCAATATATTCGATATTGCATGCAGCATACAAATACAGCCTCAGTTATAATAATAAAGTGATATATATGCTACTTCTACTGCTACATGTAATCTGCGTGCAAATTTGGGGACTGTATGCTGTGCATATACATATATTATTGCTGGATACGGGCATATATATATACGTGTACATAATAACGTGTTTCATGCAAAGAGATCATTACCAAAATATAAATGTGATGATATCTTCTAAAGTACAAAAGTGGACTTAACACCTTATGGAAATCAGCTCTTCTATAACAGCCAGAGAGATATATTCATGATAACTTGGCGCAATTTCATAACAATGTTGTATATCCAGAAGCTTGCAATACACTGAATCAGAGAGTCGTTCGAACTGTTTCTGTCAGAATATTGTTTATTGTTTGTTTCTCGGTTACGAATTTATCCTTAGAATCAAGTACCATCATATATGGCTGAATTTGCTCTAAAAGTTATCCCTAAGCGTTTTCCTCAGTGCAACGCCGGGTACCCGGCTAGTATATATATATATATACATATATATGATATTATATATATATATATTATATATAAAGTAAAGTCACACACGAACACCTGTGTAGATAAAAACAAAGTCAAGGTATAGAATAAGGGTGTTTACAAGTTTAATGACATCATTTTTGATTCAATGTCAATGTCAATGTCATTTCCAACAGATGTAATCTCGAAAGCTTGTCAATTAAACTTTAAACACCTTATTCTATTACCTTGACTTTGTTTATATATAATATATATATATATATATATATATATATATACAGGCCCGTAGCCAGCTTTGTATTGGGGGGGGGTTCGTTTTTCAATTGTGGCAATTTGCTCGGCAGGGGGGGGGTACAGGATTTGTACCGGGTGGTCTAACCGTAAACCGAAGTTGCGAGCACGCGAAGGGGGGTGCTGGGGCCCTCCCCCAGAAAAATTTTAAAATTACACCCCTCAGATCGTTTTCTGCGCGAGCAAGAGGTGGGGCCGACTCCTGGACCCCCCTGTACACGCCCCTGCTCGGGCGCGAAGCGACCAGCGAGGGAGCAAGCGACGAGCGGGGGAGGGTGCGGGAGGGGGTGTTCACTGTTCACGCTCCGCACGATGGAGATTTTGCAATTATTACACTAAAATAGAGCGACCTGAGGTGAAATTCTTGCAAATTAAAAAAAAAAATTTTTTGGCTTGGGGCCGGGGGGGGTTCGTTCGACCCCCGGACCCCCCCTGGCTACGGCCTGTATATATATAATATATTACTATATATCGTCTGCGCTGTCAGCGAATTTGACTATATCGTGATATGAGCAGAGGATATTGTATGAGTGGAGTGGAGCGTTTGTGATAGATATTGTACAGCAGATGCGAACGTACGCAAGTTGCATGCAAGTGCATGAATTCACGAACACAAGCGCCCACGCACGCACCCTACACATAAACACACCCAGATATAAAACGTGTACTATATGTATAGTGTTCCTGCTATAGTGTGTTATCGTGACTGCGCGTATGTTGTGTGCATGACTGCGCGTATGTGTGTTGCGTGACTGTGCGTATGTGTGTGCGTGACTGCGCGTATGTGTGGTTGCGTGACTGGCGCCTAGTGTTATGCTGACTGCGCGCGTATGTGTGCATGCGCCGGAGTAGTTGCGTGTGTGCGCGCTTGATTGTTTTCGTTTGATCATGTTGTTTCACACATTTGTATGTCTCTCTTTTGGAACAGTCCAGCAGGTGCCGACTCTCGTGTGATATCCTGAAGGGAGAAGACTGACTGCTGAACTAGCAGAGGTAGGTAGCTTACAATAGAGGAGAGTCTGTATACTGTTGTAGCTAATAAAATACCATAAACTGACGTGGTGTACTAAACTGTCATTAAATATGTTCATAACTCCTCCCTTTCACAGTATATATATATATATATATATATATATATATATATATATATATCAAGCGCAAAATAATACACGCATTATTAGCTCAATTATGTACAATGTTGTTACTGCCCTTTTCTATATATATATATAATATTATACGCACGTGCGTACATTTGTCGCACTTTTTTTATGTCTTTGAAGCAGTTCGGAATTACATCGCCTGGGACACTACAGCACCACCCTCTTTGCACCACCGAAAAGATGGAGAGAGAGACGGACATGAATAATGCATAAGTTGAGGATAGACTAAATTAGAGTATATTTGTTGTTTTTTATCTATATGACAGGCCGTAGCTACTATTAGGCAATAGGAGGCAAATTCCTCCTACAAAAATCTCTTCTGGGGCCTTAAGCGGGCCCCTACCCCACGCCTATTGACTCGCTTCGCTCCCTGTCTTTAACTCACAACATTTGCCTCTTACAAAATTTACCTCTGGCTATGGCCCTGCTATAGAATAGATATAACATTGATTAATATTTTTATGATTTTATATAGTAGCTAAGATATTTTGGTACTTATTTCATCTAATATTGATGTTCATGATTTTAATGGTTGTATGTATTAGTAATGTATATAAAAAAAATAATGTTTTTGTTAGCATATTCATGATGTTATGTTCTGTGTATATATGAATTGAAGATCTAATAGTTGATGTTCATGATTTTATATGGTTAGATGAATAGTATTTGTATAATCATAATGTTTCTGGTAATATATATCAGTTGTAATTGTTTATGTATATATGGATTTATGTTATCT